GAACAATATTACATATTAAACAGATCCAGTATAATATTATATATTTCGTTAATACACACATACATACATTATCAAGTCTGTAAAAGCTGCGTTCATCATAATGTAGTCCAGCCACTGAGAGAATACTAATTAAATTTTCTTTTATAAAGCATAAAAGCAAATAATGCTTTTAAAATTAAATTTAATATTTTGCTGAATTAAATTCATAGTTTTGCTATACGAAGTTCTATATGTCTGTATATTTTACATCTGAGTTTGTATCCACGTTTCAAAACTCGTTATATTTAAATGACTTAACATTAGGAGGTTTCATAATTGAATAAAATTTTTTGTTATACAATCCATAATGACTAACATTGTTGCCATAAAATATATGGTAAGAAGACAGTTGTCAATTCATTAAATAAAGAATCACTGATGTAAGTCGACATATTTATTGTTATATCTAAAATACTCATTTATTAATTTTTTAAATACCCTTTCTAACTTAACCTTAAGTTTATTTAAAAAAAAAACAATATTTTCAGGACCGATTCACTTTTAAATAAATTTACTTACTACTTTGTATCAATATGACACCATAAGTAACAAGAGCAGAAGAAATAGACACTAACATGGGATATTCCAGCATAAAGAAATTATTTGCGTGGAAAATAATTTTTCGTGTTATTATTATATTCCTCAATTCCTTGAGAGAGTCTAGAGTGACTGGATCTAGAAAACATTTAGTATGAGCATCAATAAAAAAACTATCATTCAATATAATACATACATATGTATGTTAAACGGTAAAACACCACAATCAATCAAGACTTGTTCTTACCCATTTGTATGTCCTTCGGTATACGATCAATGGAATCTATGATTCTTTCAAGCTGTCTGTAATTCTCTTCACAAATATGTACCATATAGAAAATAACAAAAAAGTTGAAAACACATAATACGATCGTCGTGATAATTGGCAAGTATTCAGTGCCATGTTGCACTGCCTGAAAATAAAAATAAAATTAATTAGTTAAACACTTATAAACCATATTGATACTTTACATAAATGTTATTATTTTACTAACTATTCTGTCAGCAAGTAGTCCGATTATTGAAGACATATTCTCTAATAAACGTATTAGAAAATTAACACAATTTATTATTAAATCTGTAACCAAAATATGATAACATTTTAATATTTCCTTAAACAGATAATTTACTTTCGTTCTCATAACACTCACTCGGAAACCAAAGGCTTTGTTAATATAAGTGCTTTGATCTATTAATAATAAGTAGCATCTGTGTAATGCCGTTACTATATTAACTAAATTTTGTCGATTAACTGTTTTAACAACAGCTCTTGAAGGATTTGTTTTCGGCAGACTTTTTTTTATTACAATATCATTGACAGTTTCGCCATATAACACGGGTAAATTACTGGTATCCCGACCGTGATATTGTAATTCATCACAAATCCTTTTTATACGATAGAGCACTTGCGTGCAATTTGCAATAAAATCTAGATTGCTGAGTAAATGAAGGAACGCATACACGTAGTATAAAATGTATGATATAGAGGCAATATTATTAAAATTTATGACCCAGGTTATAAAATCGGCAACCGAAATTATGGAGCAGAGGACAAGAAAAAATACAAATGTTTTATTAATGCTACTTTTGACTTGACCATGAATGTAACACGAATGAAGAATGTTGTCAATAGAAACATAATTATCAATATATTTCACATGGGACTCTCCATATTTATAAACAAAATAAAGATTTGTGACATATTGGAAAAAATCTATTATTATGATAAAAAAGTAGAAATTGTTAATTAATAAATTCGAAGATACATTTGTCATGTTAGAGAATTGGTAGTAAAAACATAAAGAATTTAAAAAGAAGAAAACTACTAGTAAACATGTGATTTTTAAGGTAGACACAGAACACTTTAATATGTTATCGATATTGTAAACACAAGAAAGCCCAAAGAATTGTAAGATACGATTCAAAGGATAAAATGTTGAGAACACTTCAATGTTATTAATGGTCTTCTGACTATTACTATACGTCTTCATTGTTTCGATTGACAATACCAAATACAATAAATTGAATGGAAATTCCGTTTTACCTATATTACATTAATATCAATTAGGCATAAATAAATAATAATTTAGAACAAAAAGTAAACTTAATTCGATAAATTGAATTACTATTAAATAATTATTTCACAATATTATATAAAATACATTACTTTACTTTTTTATATCATAAAAGTGTTCCGTTGAACCTTTTTGGTTTTTTAAAAGTTTTCTTATTATTTTTTTGTTAAGAAAAAAAGAAGAATAACAAATGTCACATATTTTTTATTACAAAGAAAATTACTCCAATAAACAAGGGAATTATAATATTGAGTAGCTAAAAAACGTTTGATATGTATATTATATATATTAATATAATGTGCAGTAGGTAATAATTAATACGTCATTTTAAAATCCCCCTAATTTAATTTATTAACGGGAGGGTGAATATAACTAAATATAATAATAGATGAAAATATTAACTAATATATTAATTGATGAATTGTCTCACGATGAAATCGAATATTGATTTTTGATTGGACGAATCTTTGACATCTAAATATATTAATTATGACACTACAAAGTTATAATATAAAACGTTTCATTCTATGATAAGACTTGTGCAGAAGCCTTTAAAATTAATGAAAAGCGAAAGTAAATTATAGTAGAATGAAACTCATTAGAAAAGGAGGGGAATATTATAAAAATAAAAGGAAAAATAATTTACGGGCGATCTGAGGTCGGGAAGGGTATGGGGATTTGTATTTAAGGGTGAAAAATGGGTTTTCTCGATTTCCGGCAAAACTAAAAGTCCTTCGGAAAAATGTTATATGGCAAAGTTGTAGGTAGTAAAAAGACCTAAAACTTTTATCCTAACATTTTTTTCATATGACCTCAAATTTTATGTGAAAAACTCGAAAAACCAAGTTTTTGGTTTTGTATTTTTGTCTCTAATGAAAAACAATTTTGTCACGAAATTTGGTCAAAACTTTCCTTTTGATGTTATAAATGCGCTGTAATGTAATTGATTAGAAATATTTATTTTTTCAGCTTATTTTGAATAAATATCGTAAAATCAGCCTCATTTTCAATCGAAAAATTACCCGTCAAAATATCAACTTTTTTCAAAAATTTGGTATGTGTTCTATTTGTTGAAATCTCTTTTTTTAGATGGTGAAGAGAAAAATTTAAGTTTCTTACTTGCAGTACCATTTTTGGATCAAATAATCATGTCCTTTTTAATGAAATGACACTCGATATCGTTTGAAAAATGCTCTAACAATTTATTTTTATTTTGGTTCATTATTTATATCTTGTTTTCATTTTAGTTCGTAATTTTTTAACAGTACACGAAACAAATCTCTGTACACGAATCTGAGAACAAGCACAACATGCAAGCCTTAAGTGTAGCTCAAATATCACGATTGACTACGTATTTTCGCCTCTTACTAGACTAGAGAGAATAAATAAAATAAGGTATATTCAAAAACTTATAAAAATAACATGTGTACATTCACAAATAAAAAAGAAACAAAGACAGGATTTTAGAGTTTGTTTTTTTTAGATGTATAAGTATATTAAACCGATCCTAGACTTTAATGAAAATACACAAAGATATAAAAATAATCTGGTAATTTTTATAAGGCATAAAAAACGATTCATATTTTACACGTTTCAACAATTTTAATATTTTTTTTTATTCTATTAGTCTTTTATACATACATGTTTTACATCCTTTAAGAAAAGAATGTTATAAGCACAACCTTACATCATTATAACAAAACTCCTTCATTATAATTTAACTTAACTAAGATTATGTAATAAAAATAAAAAGTAAAGCTGAGACTAAATTAAACCACATTTGTATGAACGAGAGTATTTTAAAGGAAAATGTAATCTGAGAAATATGTAACAGTAAATTAATATTATAGATGTTGAAGGTCCACTCATCTCTCAAACATAAAACTACGGCTTGCAGCCCCAGGAACTCAACCCGCAAGTCAGTGGTGGCCTAGTGGTTAAAGGGCCCGCCTCTCGTTGCCGAGGGCGCGGATTTAAACCTGGCAAGTACCAATGTGATCTTTCGGAGTCATATGTACTTTCTAAGAGTATTTAGACACCACTGACATACGGTGAAGGAAAACATCGTGAGGAAACCTGGACTTATAGTTTCACAATTATAAGTTTGAAATCACCAACCAGTCTTGAGCAAGAGTGGTGATTAATGCTCAAAACTTTTTCGATGTGAGAAAGAGGCCTTTGCTGGGCAGTGAGCTCCGATAGGCTGATGATGATGTCATACATATATTTTGTTATAGAAAAAACACCTAAAATTAAATTTAAAACCAGTTTTAGTAAAGTTAGTCAGAGATTTAAAAACGCTGTAACTTACAGACTCAATTTCAGAAATATTAAAAACCTTATGGGGCTAAAGAATTTTTCTAACCACTTGTAGCTAATGAAACGGTAAAGCAGCTTAATAAAAAAGAAGCACACTTCCTTTTGTCTCGAATACAATCAAGTTAATTTCTTTTACTACAACACACACACACACACACACACACACACACACATATATATATATATATATATATATATATATATATATATATATATATATATATATATATATATATATATAAAAGACTATTAAGTAGTGACTCACTTAAAAGCCCGTCTACTAATTGCCGCTAAGTTACTGCAATATTCATAAACTACCTCTATTACCGACCCCCCTCCACCCTCACCCTTCTATGAGAGGAGTCTCTTACCAACACACAACCACCTTCACACTACTCCTGTATTGTAACAACTCATCGGTGACTCATATAGAACAGTTCGTCTCATAAAGCAACATTAATATCCAACACTTGACTCGGCTCCATCGATACTCGATACTGTGTCTTTGTACATGTCACTCACACTCATTCATCATACTAGAAACAGTATTATACTCTTATATTTCCGCTGTTACTAAGCCATTGTTTTTATTTGTTAATTATATTTTGTCATGTTTCATTATAGATGAAAAAACTGACGAATGTCAATAATGTATTGCTTTCAATAAATTTCAAGACATACCCGGTTAAATTAGGCTGATTAATATAATAAGCTTAATTATTATAATTAATATAATAAGCTCCATACGTCTCTAATGCGGTAACTGGGGAGGACTTGCCGTTGAAAAATCTTAACTGTTGACATAAATAACGATTTTCTGTTTATGTTAAATGTAATAATAGTATTTTCTATACTTATAATATAATGTTATACAATAAATATCTTCAGTTATGAATGGTAAAAGTTTATAAAGCCTTTTTCAAAACATGTGAAAGTATTACAGTAAATAAGTTGGATTATTTATTAATGATTCTCTTCCAAAAGGTAAGATTACCGAAGTTAGTTTTGAGTCAAAGTGATTCAGGAGTAAACTAATTCTATTACTAACAAAAAATAATGTTTTTTTATCAAATAAAAAGGTTAATATCTATTTCAGTGTTTATGAAGCCGTTAAATATTTTTATATGTCGTGTCCTGACACCGCCTCAACCGACGGAGCGTTAGAAGAAGAATTTACAATGAAGTTAGTGGAACATGTGATCTGATGAAGACACACTTTATTATAACATTGATGACCTCTTGATTCATATGAACAGTAACTAACTAAGATTCAAATATAACACGAGGAAATAAATCTCTCTCTTTCACTTGTCGGCTCTGTGTAGTACGTAGCAGGGAGGATGATGCTGGCTACAACTAATATTATATAATATAACTATGAGACGAAACCTCTTAGCATTCGATGGATTCACCGTGCGGGTGCCGGGTCCATCGCGTTGCAGGGAGAGGAGCTTCAACAGTGCCTGGGACTTGCGACCCAGGTGTAGGTTTAAGGGGCCCCTTAACTAACGCGCGTTATACGCTCACCTCCACTGTCCAAGTTCCTCTCCCTACCTAACCAAATTTGAAAAGAACCTACTAGGGCTGCCTTCGACGTACGTTCTAAGAATGAATTAATGTTAGTTCTGGACAGGCCCAAGTCTTTTAGTAGGTTATAGAGAGATTTAGCTGTTATACCTCTCGCTCCCACCTCTACCGCGTACAAATCAACGACGAACCTATTTCGAGTTAGTTCGTTAGTGAGCTCGTAATACTTATTGACCTTGATGGCATGGTCTTTGGGGATGTTGGTTTCCCAAGGCACCGTAAGCTCTATCATCACAACGCGCTTTAAAATACGCGAATATAGAAATATGTCTGGTCTGGAGGCCGACGCACAAATATCCTCGGGGATTTTGTATTGTTTCTCATACGTATCCATCATGATAGTCCAATCCGAAGCCGCTTTAAGGATAGAGTAAGGCTTGACGTTTGATTTTATAGCCCTGGTGCCCTCTCTCACAAAACCTATTGATCGCTCGTTTGTGGTTATTTCCCTTTGCGCTCTGGCTACCGAAAGACTAACCGCTTCACGTATGATCTCTAAAACCCTATCGTGACGACGCGAGTATTGACCGCTGTCCAGGAGAACCCTACATCCCACCAGCAAATGCTTGGCAGTTCCAACTGCCTTTCCGCAGATATAGCAAGTTTTTTCGGTACCTTTACCCCATCTTACTAAATTACTCTGATCTGGGAGAGTCATCTGGAACGCATTGAGATAAAATTTTAGCAAGGCTGGCGACCAGTCATGAATTAGGGTGCGCCATTTTAGTGCTAGTGGAATGCAAAAATCTCCCATGTCTAACCAATCGTTCTGCATTTCTAAACTCATTGCATGGATCTTGTATTTATCGTTCTCGTCTTGCCGAATAAAAGACTTCAAGACAAAGACTAAAGAATATATTTATACGTGTAAGGTTTATATACTTTTATATGATTTTCGTTAAAATGACTTTACGTTTACTTTACGCATTAGTCATGGACTATTTCTATTAGTTTATCTAACATAAGAGCCTGTCCAGAAAGCGCGATTTACGTGCGAGTCAACTATGCGGTTTGCGCATTTTGTTTTGTATTGAGTCCAGATGCGGCGAAATAACGCGCGTATGTGATAAGACGGATTTGTTCAGTTATTTAGTTAGTTTTTTTTTTCTCCTCGGAATCACCGGCTTCACAAAAAAAATTCTACTATTTCTTCCCAGTTCCGACCCTTAATAGTTCTATTAGAATAATCTGACCATTACATATTCCATATAGCTACTCTTTTCTCAATTTCGTCAATAAAAAGTTCCGTATCAAAGTTTTCACGCTCCATTTTTAAAAAACGAATACGTCCACTCGCCACGAACACGCGCGTCGTTCTGGACGCTGTAACGGCCCCGGAGACCGGAGTATCTCGACTCGGCGGCGCTCCCACGTAATGCGCGCTAGTGAGGTGACGCGCGAGAGCATCTGGACGGAATGTATGCAGCTCTAAGGCCTCGGCCTCGAATCTCGCGGGTAGCGGGGCGGCAGCGGCAGCGGCGCGCCAAGGGGGCGGGCAACGCATACCTGTTCTCGAAACTAGCGGGCAGATCGCGCGGCACTATAGCGGTGTAGTGTTGTGTTCGTGGTTGTGTTGTCGAGATATTTGTTTTATTCGCGAACAAAATGTCTAAAAACGGCGACATCTTTATGATTATAATAAACGACCTTAACCCATTTGTGCATATTAAAGGCGAGAGAATAGAACGAGTCACAGAAGCGCGAAGATTGGGCTTGTTGATCGACGAGCGATTGACCTTTGAAAAACATACTATAAATACAGCTCGCAATTGCTTCTATAGATTAAAAGTTCTGTACCAGATCCGAGATGTACTAAGTAAGGATATGCGGATAAAGTTATGCGACACTCTAGTCCTTTCAAAGTTTAATTATGCTGATGCGGTCATCGGGCCCAGACTACTCACTCGCACTAAGAATCTTATACAGCGGGTACAGAATGCATGTATTAGGTACTGCTATAAAATACCGCCTCGCGCACATGTTACCCCTTATATTAATAGGGCTCGAATGGCAAAGATGGAATACCGCAGACAATTACACTTTGCCACCTTGTTATTTGGTATTATTAAAAATAAGACGCCTATATATTTGTACAGCAAGCTAAGTTGGGCCAACGAATGTAACAAAAGTTACCAAACGAGAGCCTCTTCTTATATGCTGAACGTGCCGGCTCACCGCACAGCAGCATTCCGCGGCAGTTTTCGTTACGCAGCAACGAAGTGTTGGAACAACATTCCCCCTCCGCTTCGGATCCTGAAATCCTTAAAATCATTTAATATCAAATATAAATTATATTTATTTAATTTACAATTAGAATTGTATTAATTCATAATATAATTATTATATTGTATCTTCGAACTTTAAGAACATTATGTGTGTATTATATTATATGTATAACTTATCTTTACTGCTGTGGCTCCGTTGCGTACCTTGTTCCATCAACTTTTCGTTTGTTGGAGGAAAAAAAAACTGCTGCTAATAACGAAACTTTTTTCTTTTAATTTTTTTTTTTTTTTAACTGTTTTTATATTTTTATTTATTTATTTAATATATAATCTAACTGTCACAACAACACTTATTTATAAACTTGTTCACTTCAACTTCAACAACACTTATTTATAAACTTGTTCAGTCAGGTTCAAAGGGTACCATTGAAAACCAGCATAAGCTGAATGGTATACCTTTTTGGGACACGCGTTATATATTTTAATGTTTATTATTATTATTATTTTTTTTTTGTTTTGATTTTTTTTTATATCCTACTTTTATATTTTTTCTCATGTTTTGGTGTAAATTAGTCATAAGTTTTATAGTAATTAGTCATAAGTTTTATACGTGTCTCAAATAAAAACTTTCTTTCTTTCTTTCTTTCTTTCTTTCTGATTCGAAATCATTCCTAATGCTCGATTTATTTTGGGCAAAAGAAGAAGTGGATCCCTACTATAAGGACGGTAATAATGATAATTATTACCGTCAATAATAATAATTATTTGTAAAAGATAATAAATATTGTATTGACATAATAAATCATTATTATATTTACCTTCAATATTCAGTTCGTTTTTTATTTCTTCCCATAATTGGTTAATTCGTCTTCTATTTTTATGGTTCACATCTTTGCTGTTCCATAAGGGTGTCCTCTCAAAGATTGCCGAAATAATTTGCTCTTGCACGTCCGAATACATTTTGATACGTCACAAAAAAAAAATTACAACACTACAATGCAGACGCGCAACGCGGGCGGTCACCGCTTGACTGGAGTGCACCCGTGCACCGCTCGTTGCCCGCCCCCGCCCTGCTCCTGCACCGCTGTATTCGAGGGTCGGTCCATTTGATTATACGCGTATGATCTTGCCGCTCCCGCTGCCGCTCCGCTGCCCGCAAAATTCGAGGCCGAGGCCTAATAACTCGAGAACGCGCGAGTGCCTACGCGCGAGTGAACTAGCGCGTAAATCGCGCTTTCTGGCCAGGCTCTCAGTATCAACCGAGGTGACCATACATTGTTGAATATCTCTGACCAGATCATCGGTCTACCTGGCAGTAGGTTCATCCACCCTATACTTAGTACTACGTGATATTCATAGAAGTAATAGTATTTCATCTGGTAACTTAATAAATGTTTAACTCATTTGTAATATTTTGAAGAACAAATAAAACATTAATTCAATGAGTCGTATCAGAACACGATACTTTAATAAGTACATATATTAACTAGGTCGTTATTTACCGGACGTGGAGTGTTTTACATGTGATTGACTTTACAAAGAATGTAGATACGAGTACATATGTATATTAATACATCTTAGTTACACATCATTTAAATTAAAACGATGTAATGTATAATGTCTGTCATCATTTCTGTCGCCAATGAAGGCCAGACGTGTCGCCCTCATTAAAATGCAGATTTTTTAATAAGGAGCACTAGATGAGAGCTCGCGGAGGTTTAATTAAAAATTGTTTAAAGTAATGCTTCCCTCGTCCCAGGAGCTGAGTTCATGACACAACACACACACCGCAGGGCATACTGCGGGGATATTAAAAAGACTCGCTTCAATGAACTGAGTGGAGGAAACTAGACGTTAAGATGTTCTTTATAAAATAAATAAACTTATACATAAACACATCAACATAGTTGATACATACTTATTATAGATTACTGTTATTATATATGTGAAATCATTCGTCATGTCTTTATAACGATTACTTGTTTAATATAATGTTTTAAATTTTAAAACCTGACGATATATTTAAATGATTATACCTTTGATAGTTCTTGTAATAACTTATATTTATTCTGAGTTATGTCAACATTATAGATAAATGAGGAATGAAATCAGTAATAGTAACAAAAATACTTGATAGAAGTTATTACATATTGTACTAACTTCCTTCTTTCAAGATTTTAACACAGCAAAACGTGTTTCTAATCTTTAGTTGCATATTTTATTAACGAGTTGAGTCTCTAATATTTATACATATATATTACATATTTTTGTACATTAAACTTATGTTTACAATATTTTCAAGCAAGATTGTTCTCGTCAGGCAACGGTTTGAAAAATTCCATTAGAAAACACGAAGTAAAATCGCTTCTTTTCCTATTCGCTGACAAGTCAAACGCATTACTTTTGTTTTTCATAAATCTTCCCTACCCTTTTGGAATATTTGCACAAGTTTATTTTGAAACTTTACTATGCCCATCACGTTTTTCCGTTAGATGAAGTTGAATAATTTTGTTGGTATTATTTCATTTCAAAGCTCAAAAGTATTTTATAAGACCGCTGCAATGAATGCGTATGATATGAGAAAAACTATCAATAATAGGTACTTTTCAAAAAAGAGTCAATGTGTTCAGTTGTGTAAGAACTAGAACAGAATTTCTATGAAACATTTAAACAATCTTTATTTCATGAAATCAATGTAAATAAGTACTAAGCAAAGTACTTATAAGTAGTTATGTATTGTATATTATATGTGTAGTGTCCATGTTATTAATTTATATAGTTATACTATGACATATTTAAATATAAAAACAGATCTTAATGGAACACCAACCACAAAATTTTCGAGACGACTAAAAGAAAGAAACTAAAAATATTTATCCTTCACTCATCTAAATACTACAAAGAAAAAGAATATAAATTTGAAAACTTTATTCAATAATAAATTAAAACTTATGTAACAAAAAATGATTATGTTCTTAGACAGTGTAACAATAACAAAATTATCAAACGATGATTAAATAAGTCAAGATGAAAAAATGATATCGTCGGGGATAGTGTGAATCCGCGTAACTATCATTGGATAATTCCACGTATCTACATTAGAAGCAGATTACCAGAAGAAATTAAGGCTGAAATATTAAATTTATTAACGACTTTTAAATAATTATGTACTAATCGTGAAAAAATTATTTTCAAATTCGTTAATTTGGAAAATATTTCATTGAAATTATCCAATGGTAGTCCCGCGGATTAGGGTGATTAGGGATAGTGCAATACACCGAAACTTCGGCATATGCCGAATCGTTCACAGATCCAAAGCACAGAACAAAGCGACGCCACGCTTTATCCTGTGAGAGTGTGGCTTATGAGTCGCCAGTTCAATAGTCATTACATAGTCGAGAGTGTTCCGGCTCTAACGAGTGTCTTGTATGTCGGATATTCGTATAAACCTTGCGCCAGACGATGATTTTGTTCCGGTTTCATATATATGATTCCCAATTCTGGAATTGAATATTTTAAATATTTTAGTTTTTATCACCTCATTAACATG